GGGGAAAAAACTTTTTTAAAAAATGTGTATATCAATTTGGGGAGAATTGAAATCTTGACTGTGTTGAGTCTTCCATTCTGTGAACATGGTATGTCTCCATTTATTTAGATCTTTGATTTCTTTTCATCAGCATTATGTAGTTTTCAGCATAAAAGTCCTCATTGTGTTTTCTTAGATTACACCCAAGTTTTTTCCTTTCCTTTCTTCCCTCTCTCCCTCCCTCCCTCCCTCTCTCTCTTTTTCTCTCTGCCTCTCTCTCTCTCTTTTCATCCCTTATTGCACTGGCTAGAACTTCCATCACTGTGTTGAATAAGAATGGTAAACCTAGGCAGCCTTGCTGTTTTCTTGATTTTAGGAGTAAAGCATTCAGTTTTCACCACTAACTATAATATTAGCTATAGGTTTTTTATTCATGTTCTTCATCAAGTTCAGGAAATTCACTCTATTCCTGTGTTTCTGAGAATATGTATCATGAATGAGTGTTGGATTTTATCAAATGCTTTTTCTGCATCTGTTGATATGGTTCTGTACATGTTCCTCTATAGCTTGTTAATATGATTACATTGATTTTTGAGTATCAAATCAACCTTGCTTCCATGATATAAATCCTGCTTGGTTGTGGTGTATAAATATATATAATTACTTTTACATACTGTTGAATTCTGTTTGCTATCAGTTAAAGGGTATTTGTATATTTTTGAGGGATATTGTTCTTTAGTTTTTGTTTTGTACTATTTGCCTGCTTTTGGTATCAGGATAATAGCTAGCTTTATAAAATGAATTCGGAAGTGTTTCCTCCACTTCTATTTTTTCATAGGAGTTTGTGTAGAATTGCTAATTCTTTAAATATTATGAATAATTCTCAAATGACATCCGTATCTGGAGATTTTTGAGGAGTAGTTTAAAATTATGAATTCAACTTAATAGTTATAAGGCTATTCAAATAATCTATTTCAAATTGGATGAATCGTGCTAGTGTTTTTTTGAGGAATTGGTCCATTTTGTCTGAGTTGTCAAATTTATGTGTGCATAAATTCTCCTGTTATCCTTTTGATGTCTGTTAAGTCCTGTAATGATACAGTGACACCTATTTCATTCCTAATACTGATAGCTTGTGTCTTCTGGGATTGTTTTTTGTTTTGTCAGTCTTGATAGATGTTTGTTAAATTTAATGCTTTTTCCCAAAGAACCAGCCTTTTGTTTCATTGATTTTTTTTCTTTTCAATTTCTTTGATATCTATTTATATCTTTATTATTTCCTTTCCTCTGCTTGATATAGATATATTTTGCTTTTTTGGGGGGGGTTCTTGAGATGGATGCTCAGATTTTTCATCTTTTCTTGTATATGCACATAATACTACAATTTTCTCTCATCTCTGTTTTAGCTGTGTGTCACAAATTTTGATACCTTGTATTTTTATTTTTGTTCCGTTTAATGATGTGAGGGTTTTTTTTGTTTTGTTTTCATTTTTCTTAAGATTACAGTATTTTTATTTATTCATCGTAATGGACATACAGGTTGTTTTTGGTTTGGGGATATTACCAACAAAGCTTCCATGAATATTTCATATACATTTATGTATGGACATATATTTTTATTTCTCTTGGATAATATTCTAGAAGTCGAATATCATAGGTGTACATTTAATTTTTCGAGCATTTGCCAAACTCTCTAAATTTTTAGTAATTTATTGTAGTTGTAATTAATAAAAGTTGACTCTTGATGGCTTGAAATTTTTTTATAAATTGTTCTTCACCATAAATAATTTGAGAAACACTGTTTGGAGTAGCCTTGGAGGGTTATATTTAGGTAGACAGAAGAGCTCTCCTTACTTTATATAAGATAAAGCAGAGTGAGTACTGCTAGTGGTTAGGGTGATAGATTTGAAAATAAGAAAAGCACTCTGATCAGAGTACTCTGATTTTAAATGTGCTGTTAATGAAGTGTAAGGCAAGAACATTAGCTAGAGGGCCTTTAGTAATAAAAGATTGAGGAAGGAGGCAAAGATGTGAACTCATCTCAGAATGTAACAAATTACAACTACATTTGTTAGAGAAATGCACGCAATACCTATTTAATTTTTGTGGCCATAAATTTAAAGTGGGCCCATTTTGAGAGTTTCTCCAAGTAGTTTAACTGCTTAGATACAGAGAGATAGAAGGTATGTAGTTAGGTTTAAAAAGAACTAGGCTAGTATGACATAGGATTGATTAGTGGAAGGTCAAGAGGTCTTTGCAAGGGAGTGGTTAAAGTGCAGGGTTGTGGAACTTCGGCAGGTTAAGGAAAGAAATGAGGGGGATGATGGATTTTTGAAAAGGTACTAGGGTCAGTGGATTGCAAGGACCCTGTGGGGTCAAAGGATAGTTGGAATAGGAATATTATAGTAAGTAAAATGGAAGAAAAGGAAACGGTGATCAAAGAGTAGGATTATAGAAATAGAGTTTTCAGAAGTGGTGTGATTTAGGGGGATTTACATGATCTAGAATATAACAGTAAGAGAAGGTGGATGAGGGAGGAGGGTTTTAGAAAAAGATGGGTGAAGTTGAAGAGGTCCGGGAACAGAGGCCAAAAAGTTAGGTTGATTTTTCTGCATTGTGTTGAAGTCTCATGGTGACAGGCATAATGATGGAGAGGAAAACATTGAGTTAGTCTGGTGCTAAAGTCATCGTTGAATGAAGGGGGTGAGGAAGAATTTTGAGGGAGGTAGTTATCCTAGCAACAAAGATGATGGGTGGTAAAGTCTGATCACCTGGACTTCAAAGGAATCGAAGTGGGGCTCAGCGGAGAAAGTAGTACAGTGGGGGTTAATCAGGACACTCACCTCACCTCTAAGTCCTAAACTACTCTGAAGGATTATGGCAGGAAAAGATCAGTACTTCAAAGGGCTCTAGGGATAAGTGTCTCAGGAATAACCATATTTCAGTTAGTACAAAAAGAAAGAACATTCAGAGAAATGGGAGGTAGCATTATGGGAACAGTATCCTAGTGAAGATTGATGATAATAGGAGGTTTGGACTTAACTGTTGCAGAGCTAAACACGGGTATGATGGGATTAATCACAGTAGTTTCTTGGTTGATTTTATGGTACTTAGGATGTCTCTCTCTTGCTGAGAGAGCAAGATTATATTTTAAATTTCTTATTGTTTTTCGTGGACTTGGATTTCCTTATGTGTTTGGTGATTCTTTTTTTTATTTATTTTTTTAATCCTCACCCAAGGATATTTTTTTTCATCTATCTTGAGATAGAGTGGGAGGGAGGGAGGAAGAGAAGGGGAAAGAGAGAGAAAGAAACAGAGAAACATCAATGTGAGAGACATATCGACTGGTTGCCTCCCTCACAGCCCTGACCAGGGCTGGAGACAAAACCAAAACAGAGGTGTGTGCCCTTGACCGGAATCGAACCTGAGACTCTTTGGTCCGTGGGCCGATGCCCTAACTGCTGAGCTAAACTTGCCAGGGCTGTTTGGTGATTCCTAATTCTATTCCTCTCTTCTGTGGCATGCCTATTTATTCTCCTGGACAACTTGGACTTGCCTGACTGAACTCTATGGATTCCTGTCTGCTTCCTCCTTTTAGGCCCATTAAACATTGTTAATTTTCAGATATGTAACTTAATTCTTTCAAAATATTTTTCCTCTAGTGTGTTTGGTACAGGAAAGGAGATTTTGGCATTTGTTATCTTGACACTTTTAAAGCTAAATTTTTAGGAGGAAGAAACTGATACCCAAATTTTCAACAATAGAGAATGAGTAAAATGTGATATGTCCATTGAACAAGACATAATGCAGCTATTAATATTTTATTTTGCAAGGACATATGGGTATAATGAGAAACTGCTCTCGATACATTGTCAGTGATGCCATTTAGTAAAACATATATGTTCTATAGATAGGCATTAAAATGTGAATATTGAGGGCATTAAGATGATAGATTTTTATTTTTTTATGTATTTTCCATAATATGTTGTTACTTTTATAATGGGGAGGGAGTAAATGTGACTTGGAAAGAAAGTGAGCAAATAGGCAAATTATATGATGTGTTAACCTTGTCTATTTTAATACAAAATTCTATTTTTTAAAATAAAGATGGTGTGTGTGTAAGTGTATATTTATGTTTGTGTGTGTCTTAAAATCTTAATGTTCTAGGTAGACTATGCCTGGTTTTGACAAACATTTCATTGACAACTTACATGATATGGGTTTTTTTAAAAATAATTTACCCTGAATATAAGTTAACAAATCTAAACATATAGGTTAATGTTTAAAAGCTCACGATATTGCCCTGGCCCGTTTGGCTCAGCAATTAGAGCGTTGACCCGAAGCCCAAAGAGTTGTGGTTCGATTCCGGTCAAGGGCACCCATACCTTAGTTGCGGTACGGTCCCTGCCCTGATTGGGGTTGTGCGGGAGGCAGCCAGTCAATGTGTCTCTCTCACATCGATGTTTCTCTCTCACTCTCTTTCTCCCTCCCACTCTGTCTGAAAATAAATGGGAAAAATATCCTCGGGTGAGAATTTAAAAATATATTTTTTAAGAAGCTCACAATATTAATTTGAAGTATTATTAGAAAATAATTGTGTTGAAATAAAGTCATTTATTTTAGTTTAAAATTAATAGGGTGAAATAATCTATCATTTATTCAAAGTATTATATACTGTGTGACTTTTAATTTCAGTGTTAGGATATGAAATATGCATTTACTTCCTATAAATATCTAGAAATATGCTGATTGGCTTTATAAATAGTGTATTTAGCAAATATTTAATGAGCGTTAATTATATGCTAACCTACTCTAGGTACTTGGGATGTGTTAGTGAACAAATAAAACAAAGATATAGGTAACCTGGTAAGAAGAATGGTCTAATTCTAGCAGGATACCTTTTAGTAAGGCAAACACCCATGTTCTTAGATTGTTTGCATTTTTAAACTATATTATTATAAAAGCTTTATAAACCAGGAGAAAAAACAATCTTTAGTACTAACCATCTTTTGTTTTATTAGATTGAGGAACTTCAGCAGGCTTTAACAGTAAAACAAAATGAAGAGCATGACCGACAGAGGAGAATAAGTAATACCCGCAAAATGATAGAAGATTTGCAAAATGAACTGAGGACCACAGAAAACTGTGCAAATCTTCAGCCCCAGATTGATGACATTACAAATGATCTGAGACGAGTTCAAGATGAAAAGGAATCATGTGAAAGCGAGAAAATTGATAAGCATAAAGAGAGGGAAACTCTAGAGAAGGAGAAAAAGAGTAAGTTTTATTAAACTTAGGATGAAGAGACATTTATAAAATGGAGCTACATCTCTGATGATGGGCTTTCTTCTGATATCATGTCTTTAAATATTCAGGCCTCCCTGTTGGGGATGCTCAGCTCAGTTCTTCCAACTTAGTGCCTTAATTACCTATATTTGTCATGTATTATGATTTGCCAATGGCTGGCCATTATCTTAGGTCAGATTATATCAGTTGATTTAATTCTAAAAATGTTTTGCTTTCTTTTCTCTCTTTTTTTAATGTTTTTGTTTCTTTATTGATTTTAGAGAAAGGAAGGGGGGGGGGGCTAGAAACATCGATGAGAGAGAACATTGATTGGCCCCCTCCCGCATGCCCCCCACTGGGGATTTGGCCCACAGCCTGGGCATGTGCCCTGACTGGGATTCAAACTGGCAACCTCTTGGTGCATGGGTCAGTGCTCATCCACTGAGCCACACTGGCTGGGCCCTTTGCTTTATTTTCTTTAGAAAATCACTCACTTATTTCTCAGATCAAATTTAAGCTCTTTATTCTAGCCTTCATAAACTTTTCATTTGCTTTGCTCCTTGAAGCCTGTCCAGTTACATCTTTGCTTTGCTTTCCTGTAGACATGTGGCTAGATCTATAGCATTAGTCACATAGAGGAAATGTCATATTCATTTTGCTCAGTATATATAAAATCAGTTTTTTAAAACACCAGTTTTTATATGTTTACCAAAGTACTAGGTGTGTATGGTTTAAAAAAAGTAAACTAGAACAGAAGGGAGGCCCAACTACTTGCTAACCTCCAGACTTCCTCTCAAGAGTAAACACTTTAACGATTTCAACAGTTTTTTTCTAATAGTCCTCCATATATTATCAGAATATTCTTATTTCACCATAGCTTAATTTGTCAATTTTAGACATCATCTTTTTATATTTTTTTAATGTTGACAGTATTAGAAATGTCTCCCATTTTCCCCTCCTTTGCTTCCTCCACCCAGTCCCTGCCCCACCCCAGGCCTTCCCCACACTATTGTCTGTGTCCATGGGCTATGTATATATGTATATAAGTTCTTTGGTTAATCTCGTCCCATCTCCCTACCCCTCTCCCCTCTGAAACCTGTGAATCTGTTCCATGCATTCATGTTTCTGGACCAGTTTTGTTCATCAGTTTATGATGTTCATTAGATTCCACATGTAAGTGAAGATCATGGGGTTTTTAGATGTTATCTTTTGATATTTGTTACTTTAGATGGGATTTCAGCTCATAATTTCCCCCTCCCTGTTGTAATTCTTCAAATGAGATTATTAATATTAGTTATTAATCATAACTGTGACTATATCTTTTTGTCATTTCACAGTTGTCACTATTTCTTGAATGTACACTGTAAGCTAAAAATAGTACTTCCATCCTTTTTTTTTACTTTCCTCCCTTCCTACATTCTAAATTCTCTAATCTGTGCTCTGGTTTTTATATTTTTGAGACTGAAAACATTTTATTGAGAACCATAATCAAGTTTTATGTACTCTGTTTATGAGTTAAATCTAAAAGCTAGAAATATTGCTCTGGCTGGTTTGGCTCAGCGGTTAGAGCATCGGCCTGAGGTCCAGAGAGAACCGGGTTCGGTTCCCGCTAAGGGCATGTACCGTGGTTGCAGTTTGTACCGACCCTGGTTAGGTCGTGTAGGAGGCAGCCACTCCATGTGTCCCTTTCACGTCGATGTTTCTCTCTCTCTCTCTCTTCCTCCCTCCCTCCCTCCTGCTCTATCTCAAGATAAATGCAAAAATAAATAAATAAATAAATAAATGCTAGAAATATTAAGTGTTATTCATATTATTATAATGAACTTGTTCACAGCAGAGCCAAGTAGTATATTCTGAACTAATTTCCTTTGATAGCTTTTTTAAAGGTTGTAATTTACCTTTTTTTTAAAAATATTTTTTTCTTTATTGATTTTAGCAAGGAAGGGAGAGGGAGAGAGAGATATAAATATTGATGAGCAAGAACATTGATTGACCACCTCCTGCATACCTCCCCACTGGGGATCGGGCCCACAACATGGGCATGTGCCCTGACCAGGAATTGAAGCAGAGACCTCTTGGTGGACGGGTTGACGCTCAACCAGTGAGCTATGCCAGCCAGGTGTAATTTACCTTTTTTGTTTTTAAAGCATCATTTGTTTTAGTATTTCCTTAAATTGGCAAAAACCTATCTTATCAGACATTCTCTTGAGTTCTGGAGCCTGCCATCCTCCTGCTTTCTAAACTGATTATTTTCAAGGCCTGCTGCATGGCAGTCATCTGGAATTGGTCTCAGATCCTTTTCTGTGTTGGATAAAGCTATTATTTCTGAATTCCAGGTCTTTTGCTTTTACTACATTACTTCCTTATTTTATTAGAATACATCATCAGGTAACCTCCTAAAAAGTGGGTACTTAGGAATTAATTTTAGGGTCTTGGCATCCTAGGAAATATCTTTACTTCATTATCCCTTTTTCTCAGTTTTGTTGTATATATAATTCTAAGTTGAAAATAATTTTTCTCAGAATTTTGAACATCTATTGTGATTGTTTTCCGATTGGAAATCTAGTGTTTTCGTATTCTTTTTTATGTGACCTATTGTTGTCAATAGCTTAAAGATTATCTTTTATCCCAAGTGTTTGGAAATTAGAGAAAGATTTGTTGAAGGTGGGTCTTTCTCACTATACTGGGTACTTGCTGAGTGGTGTTTGTAACTTGTGGATCTACGATATTCTTTTGTATTATTAGATTATTTTACTAACAAATGTTTTCAGAGAAACAATATTTTGGTTTTTTTTTTCAATTTTAGGTGTGAATGATCAAATTGTACAATTTGACAATCTTATGAATCAAAAGGAAGATAAGCTGAGACAGAGATATCGTGACACGTATGATGCTGTTTTATGGCTGAGAAATAACAGAGACAAATTTAAGCAAAGAGTCTATGAGCCCATAATGCTCACGGTAAGAAATTTTGTTTATCTTGGTAGCATCTATTAGTTTTATTATTGTAATCATTATAGATTCTTGTTGTTTTAAGAATTCTTAGTCTTATTTGTACCCCTGGTTTTTCATTGTCAGATTTGAAGCACGTGGTATATTTCTGAATCCAAACAGAAGCTTTTTACAAGGCCCTTGATTAATAACACCTGTGAACTTGTTCTAGAAAAAAATATGAAAATTGTGCTTTATTGACTAAGAATTGTGTATAAAAATAGCTTGGTTAGCTGGTTCCTTTTGGCAGTTGTTATTCTTAGGTCATAGCGAGCAATAGATTAAATGCTGCCAAAGGGGTAGAAAACTGCTATAAATAAGTATGTTGATATAAAATACCTGACAAAAGGTAGACAAGAAAATCACTTGCTATAAAAACAGAGCATTATGAAGATTCTGAGAATGCAACCAGTTTATTGACCTCAAACATTTAATAGCTCTTTTATTGATGATTAAAGGTCATTAAGAATAGGGTAAGCTATATTTAGTAAATCATTTAATGAAGTATGGCCATGGATTTAATAGAAGATTTCTGTATAAAATATTTAAAATAATAAGTTTGGCCACAAAAAGTAAAAACATTTTTTGGTAATGATGTATTAGATACACATATATAATATAAACTTAGAACTTACCCAGAAATGACTTAAGGATTGTTTTTGCTAGATAATTTCTTGTACTTTAGAAAAGAATGCAGTATAAAAATCATTTCTTATAGTTTTAAAAATTATGTTAGCAAAATTAACGTGCATACTCCTGTATTCTCTTCTTGCTCAGGTATGTATTATTAGACTATTTTTGGCAGATCAAAAAGGGAATATCTATTTTGGACCCTGGCACTCTTGTTTTGATTAATTTGGTAAGGATTAGGAGAAAGAATATTGTTATCCTTAATATAAGTTATAATCAAGTATAATTGTCAACAAATTTTTATTAAAATGCTAACCTCAAAATAATACTTTAGAAATTTATTTGATTTTTTTATCCTCTAGTCACTTGGTTTTTTAATATTGACCTATTACAGAGTCGGATTACTAGCTGGTTTATGTTGTCATTTTATAAATCTTTGAAATAAAAGGATATACTCTGCTTTTTCACCCTTCCTGGAATAACCTTTCACCTTTTCTACCACCTTCATCCAACTGTATTCCCATACACACTTAACCCTTCAAGATTTAGTTGAAATGCTACCACCTTCATAGGCAAATTAACAATATGTAAACATAAAATTTTAGTCATATAACTTGCCAGTTAGCAATCTGTTTTCATGAATTATTTCTAACAAATTCAACATAGAATTGGAGAAGGTGCAAAGATTTTACACTTATACTCACAGTAGTGTTAATAAAAGCAGAATGATGAGGCAAAAGAACAAAATTTTCAAAGATGTTGTTCAGTTTTGTAAATTATCCTATACCTTATGGAATACTATGCAGCCATTAAAAATGTTGGTGTAGGTCTCTACTTGTATAAAAAGACATTTGTGACATGTTAATGAATTATTAAAAAGGTTACAGGATAGGATGTATAGAAAGATTTCATTTTGAAAAATTGTGAAACAGGATGCTGTCATTAACCACCAGATCATGTTGGAGTGCTACATACACTTCCTATGTCTACCTGTCTGTCTTACTACTGTGACTGTGAAGATGTGACTTTGGAGAACTTTACCAAATATTTTCTTCACCAATCTTATGAGAAGGAACATGCTAAGAAACTGATAAAGCTGCACAACCAACAAGGTGGCCAAATCTTCCTTCTGGATATCAGGAAACCAGACCTTGAAAGCAATGGGAGTATGCATTCCACTTGGGGAAAAGTGCAGATCAGTCACTACTGGAAATGAGCAAATTGGCCAGTGAATGACCCCCTACTTGTGTGACTTCCTCTATACTTATTACCTAAATTAGCAAGTGAAATCCATCAAAGAATTGAATGACCATGTAACCAACTTACACAGGATGGGGGCTCCAGAATCTGACTTGATATAGTACCTCTGACAAGTACACCCTGGGAGAGAATGATAATGAGCACTAGGTTCTAGGCAGCTTATTCATAGCTATAAAAAAAAAATTTTTTTTTTTACTCCCTGTGGTCATATTGGGGTTACTTTTGCTTTACCCTTTCTATAAGTTGTAGCAAATACATTTTATTTCATTTGTACTATTCCTTCCAATAATTTTTGGTGCCCCCCAAAATTGTGAAAAAATAGACACTAAATGTTATGTCCAGGTGGCAGTATTTTATGTGATTTTCATTTTATTTTGATTGCTTGTGGATCTTTATCCATTTTTCTACACTGATTGATAATCTGTAATTTAAAATAGAGAGTAATGTTGGCCAGCATTTATGTAACAAGAGCCGCACTAATTTTTTTCATTTATTTTATCAACTCTTTTAATCCACATTTATTCCTATGAGGTGTAGACTGATTTACTGTACCCATTTAAAGATGAATAACTAAAGTTTTCAGAGATTTTAGTAGTATTTGATTAAGGTCACATACAGGATTTAAAGTGACATCTGTCTGACCCCAGAGCCCTAGCTTTTATTTGCTGCATTTTATTTCTATATAATATTTATATATTTATATATATAAAACATAAATACCTTTTATAAAGTTTATTTATTTTTTTAAGAAAAGTGATTTCCATCTGCTGGAGCTAATCTCTCTCCTTTAAATTTTCTAGATAGCATTTTTTATATACCTGTGTTAGGGAGATTTAATCGTACTCTGCTTTTTAGCATCCTTATCATTTGCTATAAATAATAGAGAGTGAGCCCTGGCCAGTTTGGTTCAGCGGTTGGAGCGTCGGCCTGTGGACCAGAGAGTCCTGGGTTCAGTTCCCGCTAGGGGCACTTACCAAAAATAATAATAATAAGAGTGTACTCTTCTTGAAACAGTTCTTCCTGGTATATCTTTATATCTTCAATGCTGCTGAGTCTCAGCATAAGGAAATACCTAGTTAGCTAATATTTTGAAGTAAATCATTACATTTTTATGCTCTAGTGGTACAAACCTTGTGTTTCTCCTGAAGGCACTAATAGTTACAATTAATTCATAGCTAGTTTTTCCATTCGTTTCATAAAGTTTTATTCAGTTCTTTGTGTTTTTGTACCAATTAATTATTGCCATGTATACTGTGAATTCCTGAAGATTAAGAGGAAGAAAAAGTTTGGGGACAGTTGAGAAATGTTTATACTTTTAGGTCACAATCTAAAGCTGTTTCAGTGTTTTCAGTGAGTTAACCAGAAAGGAACTTGATTATTAGATAATATCAAAACCACTATGCATCAGGTACTATTCAAGTCTTAGCTTTTACTTTACTATGTATTCGATGTTTCTAGGTAATAAATTATAAATTAGGTTAAACAGATGTTTTACAGTGTTGATCCTTCAATATCAAGTTGTTTTTTCCTTTTTCTCAGTTATCAAATTTAATCTGATTAAAATAAATCTAAATTAAATATAATTATTTTCTAGTAATCAGTTTGGTTTTCATGAAAATCAACTTTTTGTGTTTAGATCAATATGAAAGATAATAAAAATGCCAAATATATTGAAAATCACATTCCATCAAATGACTTGAGAGCCTTTGTATTTGAGAGTCAAGAAGATATGGAGGTTTTCCTCAAAGAGGTAAGTATAAACTAACATAATATTTTGACTCACTTGGCACTTCTAGTGAATTTTAAAATTCAAACTAGAGCAAAAAGTGATGACTAATTTTACCAGCAGTAACTCCTGTGTAAGTCATTCAATTTTGCTCATTTCTGTCCTATCTATGCTATTATTGGGAAATGAATATGTTTTATAAGAGGAAAGACAGCTTATAATTCCCTTTGTAACATACTCTTGAAATTATCATTTGGAATTAATACGAAGAGTAATCCTGTGGCATTGTTTAAAGAGAAGCATCATAACGATGGACCTTTGGTCTTGAACATCCTTTTGGGAAGCGTATTGAAAAGAACTTAGTTTTTTTTTTGGATGGGAAATCAATCTGATATTATTGTTTATGATATAAATAAAACCACTTTAAAAAAAATGAGAATCCTTTATCTAGCTAGAAAACACCGCTGACCGAGAATCTAAGCCACTGAAAGGCAGCATGGCTTAGGAGTTGAGAGCATCAGCTCTACAGTTGGGCTGCCACTATTTGAATTCTGGCTTTGCTATTAACTTGGGCAAGTTGTCTAAATGCTTTGTGCCTCAGTTTCCTCATCTCTAAAATGGAGATAATACTAACTATTTCAAAAGATTTTTGTGAGGATTAAATCTGAAAGAGTATTTACTATTGTATGTAGTATGTGCATATTGTTATATATCTATGTGACATATAGTATATATTGTTAGCTGTGGATGCTATTATATACTGTCAGTAAGATTTCTTTTTCCTTTTGCATATGCCTTCTACTTCTTTAATAGCCCCAGAAAGATAAGGTTTAGATTTTGTTTTGTTTAAACCTTTGCTAGTAAGTCTAAGTGAGAACAGGACCCTGAAACAGCTCAAGTGGGCCTCTACTTCTCTGGTATACAAGTGATTAGAAAGAATCCTTACTATTTTCTTTGGCTTTTACGATATTGTCCTCCATCTGGTTTGGGAGTTGTTAGAGGATCTGACTATATGGTGACTGGATAAAAAGGTTGAATGTATAAAATTATAAAATGGACTCCAAAAAGTTAAACATTTGTGTATTTTAGGACTAATTTAAGCCTAACAAGTGAGTGAGCGATCTGGTATCAGCTCATTGAAGAAGTAGGTTGCACAGGTTACAGATCTGTAAGATATGGCACATTGTGAAGAGTGTCTAATCAGGTGTTATTAGATATTTTCTATTTTGCAAATTGCCAGCTTAGTCTATGCTGAATGCTTTGCTTCAAAAACTCATGCTTCCTTTGTGCTGAGGATTTGAACTGTATATTGATAATAGGACATAAATTTCTGGCAATTTGGCCTTTATCATTTTTTTTCTTCTGTTAACAATTAACTTTCCAAAGGGTCCCATCAATAGGACCAGAAGTTCCTCTTACATGTATGACATTTTATGCATTTTAAATTGTGAAATGTATTGTATGTAACCTTCTATAGTTTTATGTATTAGAGTACATTTCCCATCCTTTTAGTAACTTATAAACCATCTTCACAGTTTTTGCCATTTCATATACTACTGTGCACTCCATCACAGTTTGTAGTGCTAACTATACTATTATTTTTTTAAATTGATTTTGAGAGGGAGAGAGAGATCATTGTGAAAGCAAAAAATCATTCGGTGGCCTCCTGCCAGGGATCAAGCCCACAGCCTGGGCATGTGCCCTGACTGGGAATCAAACCCAATACCTTTACATGGATAGGACAATGCCCAACTGAGCTACACTGGTCAGGGATAACTGTACTATTATTTAATTTTTTTCTGTAAGTTACTGTAGTTTTTTAGTGTGTATATTTTTATTGATTTTTATTGATTTTTATTGATAAAAGGTTTATTGATTTTTAGAGAGATAGGAAGGGAGAGAGAGAACGATCCATATGAGAGCAAGACATCCATAGGATGCCTCCTGCACAACTCCCTAATTGGGATCGAACTGGCAATCTTTCAGTGCACGGGATGCTATCCAACCAAGTAAGCCACATTAGTCAGGGCTAAATCTTTAACTTCACTTTTTATTACTCAAAATATTCAGAAAGGAAGTTTGATATCATTGCAAAATTAGAAAACAATATTGCATAACAATAAAAACTGTTAGTAAATCCTAGATCTGTACTGTTGCCTATTGAAAGCAGAGATGATTTTTATAAAAAGGAGATAATGAGTTATACAGCCACTTTCTCCTTGATGTGATTAGAAATATTGAAAAGTAATTGGAAAGGAAATTATTTTCTCATTGTACAATTCAGTTTTATTTAGGGTAACCACTAAAACAATACATTCTACAAACATAAATGGAGCTGTACATGCTAGTGTCATTAATAGATTGATTCATGGCCAATATTTTTTATTGATATTGTTTACTCTTTTTAATAACTTCTTATTGTGGTATAACTTTCAACTTATAGAAAAGATGCAAGAGTATACATGGAGCCCTGGCCAGTTTGGCTCAGCAGTTAGAGCGTCGGCCTGCGGTCTGGAGAGACCCGGGTTCGGTTCCTGCTAAGGGCACGTACCTCGGTTGCAGTTTGTCCCCAGCCCTGGTTGGGTCGTGTGGGTGGCGACCACTCGATGTGTCCCTTTCATATCGATGTTTCTCTCTCTCTCTCTCTCTCTCTCTCTCCCTCCCACTCTATCTGAACAAAATATCAAAAAAAATGTCCTCGGGTGAGGATGGAAAAAAAAAAAGAGTATACATGGAAATTCTGTGTACATTTTACCCTATTTGCCTTATTTCTCCATTGCAAAGTACAGTCAGTTTTACTAAAACCCAATATATACATTCCTAAAATCACTGTTATGCCCCCATTTTTCTCCCTTAGGCTTGATGGGTTTCTATAGCACAAATTTGCATAGTTTTACACATTTTAAATTGTCAAGACATATACAAATACAGTAAATATGGTGCTTTGTATTTAGAAAGACCTGAAGTTGGCTTGTGAAAGTAGGCATTGGAAGGGTTCAGTTTGTGAATTGTGTAGTGGGTCAAATAATTTAAAGTGTTTATCTGAAATTGGATAGAAAGCTGCAACACCAAATGTGGTTGGATGGGGCTCATAACACATGTGGTCCCTTAGGTAGCTGGTAGATGTTTGAGAGGAGTATATGTGTGTCTGTATTTGTGCACAAATTACATGTGTTTCTATGCAGTTCAATTGGGTGCAGTTTTCTGCATTCACCTAGAAAAAACCTCGTGTTTCTTGTTGATATAATTGCACGTAAACAGATGTGAAATTCATGTATTCCTTAAATTGTCTCCTAATATATCAATTGCTTGGAACAAATTTGTCTTCAAAACAAGTATTATAAAGAACTATTTTTCTCTTTGTAATTATGTGTGTGGAGATACTTTGAGACTGTTTTATCCTATTCTTCATGGAATTAATAGGTTTAAGAATCAATGGTTCTAAGTCATTTTTTCTATATTTATTAGCAGCATTCTATGAGGGAGAGCTTTTTCTTCTCTATTTATTTACTTATTATATCATATAGCTTATAATCCATTACTAATCATTATTTTAATGCTCACATTATCCCAGAGTTGGCCAGTAAGACCTTATACAGGTTGACTCCTGTGTTCTGTTGATATGTTGCCATCATATTTTGAGCACTACTTATTTTTTGGCAGAATAAGATGTTGACTCATCTTGAACTTACTCAGTCTGGGTCTTACAATCAGCCATTTTTCTAAAGAACCCTACTTCCTTTTAGAAACCAAGATCTGTAACAAAAATAAATTAGTAAAAATTGCAAAAGAAAAAGAAATCAAGATCTGTGTACTATATGTGTTCATTGCTGCTAGTGTTTCATTTCTTCTAAGTCCTTGCATTCAAACCCTTATATTTATATTTATTTCTGTATTTATCTAGAAAGCATTAGTGTACCATGAGTTTACACTGATACTTTCATTTATAATCCAACACAACAGGGTACCTTGTAGTCTTTCTCCTTTGTGTATTTGTAATTTACTTTTGTAGCAGTGAAAAACAGCCCCCCTTATCATCAATATATTTACTTATTTATTCAAGCCTAGAGTTCTGTGAAAGTAGTTTTAAGAATTGCTAATCTGCCCTGGCCGGTTTGGCTCAGCGGTTTGAGTATTGGCCCACGAACCAACGAGTCGTGGGTTCAATTCCGGTCAAGGGCACGTACCTTGGTTTCAGTTCATCCTCGGCCCTGGTTGGGGTCCTGTGGGAGGCAGCCACTCCATGTGTCCCTTTTGCATCGATGTTTCTCTCTTTCTCTATCTTTTCCTCTCCCTCCCACTGTATCTGAACAAAAATGGAAAAATGTCCTTGGGAGAGGATTAAAAAAAAAAAAGAATTGCTAATCTGTGCCACCATGAAATTCTTCAATTTCACCATCCCATCATGCCTCCATTAATTTCTCTCAACATTGTTTTTCGCTGTGTGAGTCTTGGTCATCTTTTGTCATACGTATTCCTAAGTATTTTATGGGTTGTTGTGTTGTTTTTTACATTATTAAAAATGGATTTCTAACATTTATTTTCCAGTTGTTCATTGTTAGTGCATAGATACATAATTGATTTTTACATTGATTGACCTTGTATTTATACTATGATACTGTTAAATTCACTTATGAACTCTAGTAGTATCTTTGTAGATTCCATTGGATTGTCTATGTAAAAAGTGGTATCTTTACAAATGGATCTTTTTACTTGTTCTTTTTCAGTCTTTCACTTTTTTAAATTAAATTAATTAGAGTAACATTTGTTAATAACTATATAATTTTCAGGTGTACAATTCTGTCACCTCTTCTTTGAAAAATGCCATTGGGATTTTATGGGACTTGCATTAAATTTGTATATTGCTTTAGGTAATATAGCCATTTAACTATGTTACTTCTTCTGATCCATGAATATAGAATATCTTTCCATTTCTTTGTGTGCTCAATTTCTTTTCAAGTGTCTTGTAATTTTCAGTGTATATGCATTTCACTTCTTTGTTAAATTTATTCTTAAGTATTGTA